TGTCTTCTGAAGAAATTACCAGCTCAGTGCTTCTCTCGACGAAAACACTTTGATAAGGCATTAACCGTTTCGATCTGTCGAACCGTCTGTGAGCTGAAGTTGTGATTTTAGTGGCGCACAAGATAAACCAGCATTCTCATAAGATTTTAGCTTCCTTGTTTGCACTGCCAAAAAATAATAAAAGTGTTCCAATTTGTGCATATGACGCATCACTGCCTCTCGCCATGCAAAAGCAGATGCTCATTTTGTGCTTACTGGCTTGCACATGAACAGCAACCATCTTCACAAGATTACGGCTTCCTGCTCGTTCTGGTGGGTGCAAATCTGCTAGCTTTACATGCGCTTATTGTGAAACCTACGCATGTTTCCAAACTGAGTTTGAAAAATTTAGATTGCTCTCACATATAGAATATGTTTACAAAACTCCAACTTCCAGGCTTTTACTATTCCCAAAATCGTTCCTTAGCCATAGATATTTTTGCTGTACCCTTAGATGAGTCCTGAATGTACAAGAAAGATGATATTAAAACGGGACGGTAAAAAAGTTTCAGCTTTCCAGCTTCTCTAGTTGTTAAATCAAGGACGCGTATCAAATACACACACACAAATCAATAATATGTGCGATAGTGCTGTACAGCAAAAACACAAAAGCTGGTAAAAAAAAAGCATTTGCAGATTGATGTAACTGAAACGGGCCATGACGATTGGCAACTCGGCTTAACGAGGAGGCGTTTCACCAAGCTATTTCTGGAGCTGTTCATATGTTCGCTGTGTCCTTTTCCAGGTTTGCATTGTTTCAGTCTTTGCTGTTATGGTCCGGCAAAAAATACCGACAATTGTGCGATGGAAAAGCACAAAATTCTGAATTACATTTTCTGGCTTCTAATCTGAAAAAGGCCAGCCAATTTTTTTGCTCCCCTAGCACTCTTTTGTTATACCCTGATAGAGGATATTCCCAAAATGGTCAGCTCAAATCAACCGCTTCACTTTGTAGTCATTTTTCAGTACCGGAGGAGAATCTTTATAGGCCGGCATGTAAATATATACTTTATTTTGCAGGCGCAGGTTACATTAAATGGCCGCTTCTGGATGCCAGTATTCAAATGCACGGTTCCACAACAATACCTTTGCCAGTGCTTCTCTGCTTGCCCATGTTCCTACGTGTTTACCTTGCATGTCGTCGCATTCTTCTCCACAAAAGATTTCGTCGGGTTCGTTCATCAAATGAGTGTGCTATATCGGCTTGAGAAGAATTCTGTTCACTTGCTCTAGGATAAACAAAGAGTTCAGAATACGTGATGTTTTTAGAAAACTGCAACTTCAGCAGAGCCCTTTGAAATTTCTGAAAATCATCAGGAAAAATTTAATTTTTTTTATCACGAAAAATTATCTACAATGAGGAAAAATATCGGAATGTTCCTTCCATTCTTAACGTTTCTGGCAGATCCACAAAAAGGTGCATATGCCTGTCTCAAGTGCTCATGAGCAGTACAGACTGTTGTTGTTTGGAACAGCAAGCAAGGTCATGCAGTTATGGCTGGTAACCTAACATGGTAAGGCTAGAATGAACAATACTTGTCTGCGTAAC